ATACCCTTACAACATAGTTGTGTAGGGTATAACAATTTTTATCGAATGTTTTCTTTAAAAACGGAGGTTTCACGAAAAATATCTGGTCAAATATTCTTCAATAACTCACTCCTATAGATCAGATAACATATTAAAAAATCTACAACTATGACTCAGATGTTTTATGAAAAAAAAAATACATCGTAAAAATATACGGCTATAGGTTGGAAATATACTTCAAAAATCCAACCCAAAAGCTCGACTGAACCACGTAGAAATATTCAAATTTACGCTAATAAATGAAGGTCCTTATTAAAACCTTCTACAAATTATAGCCTACAAAATCAACTCTAGAGCTCTAAAGTTCCTCATAATCTGGCTCTGATTTTCCCTGTAAAAATATTCAAAATAAATCCATGCCCATTTATCTTATTATCCTTATAAAAATATCCTTAAAAAATCAAGCCTACAGCTCTGATGGTGCTTGTGAAAATATGTGTTCCTCAAAAAATTCTCTCCTATATCTCTAATAATTCTAATAAATGTATTCTTAAGAAATCCAAGCATCCTTTAGGCCTTCTATTCAAACACCTCCAGCCTACAATTATCGTGTAACATAACCCATCATAATCAATGGCAATTAATTAATTAACAACAAATAATACAAAATTATGAATATAACAATGTTGTTGTTTCTTAAGAGATTTATTTTTGTATATTTTCAATGAGATTAATTATTTGACGTGAATTATTTATGTATGTTCGCAAACATACATACATATCATATAAATATATACATAATTTTTTTATTTAAGATTATAAATGACCACACCGTTCTATTTTTAGGAACAGCAGCAGCAGCAGCAGCGGTAACAGCGAGAAGAAGACAAATGTTTGTGGTTTCTCAAAATGTGGACATCACCTCCTCAAAGCAAAGCAGAATTGGAACAAACCAAAAACAACAGCAACAACAACAACAACGAAATGAAACAATACAATTTGTTTGTCAAATGTCAAAGGTGAAACAAATAATAAAAACATTTTTGAATGTCAACAATCAGCAACGAACACATGTTTATTTGATTGCAAACACTTAAATGTGTTTATTAGATATTATAAAAGGAAATTCATCTAAAAATAGTTTTTTTTTTATTTTCTATTTTCGTTTTTGAATATATGTAAATGATAAAAAATTAACAAAAACAAAAATCGAATGTAAAGGATGAAATGTTCTACAATAAAAACGCAAATTGGAACATACAAATAATGCAGATTTTATTCATATCAGAACGTAGACCATCTGCTTTTTGGAATATTTTTGCTCATAGAAACCTTAGATATCAAATATTTTTAAAAAAGTTCCACGACTATAATTACATTGGTCCTAATAAAACTATTCTTAAAAACAATCTACGTTTAGAGCCCCGAAAAATGTCGCGTGGCTGGGTAATAACATGAACTTATATTAAATACTACTACAAAAACATGTTGAAGATGTAATTTTATGAAACATTCCAAATATCCCAGGTGTAGTAGCAATGTATGTTCACAATTACAAAACTCTATCATGATTTCAACAGGCAGGAGAACAGAGAGACAGACTAAACTGAGGCATTAATTAATTCTGATGAAGAATATATGCACACTTCCGCGGTCACTTACACGACTTCCAGAGACAAAACAAAATTTAAACTTTTAAATAAATCAAATACAATTACATTTTTTTACAATTCACAATTAATAGTTTTTTGTAGTACTTGGGGAGTACTATCAGTGTTAAAAAAATTGAGGGCCTCCGGTTTTTATCTTTTGAGATGAAAGACACAAAAGAGCGGTCACTCACGCGACTTCATTGCTAATGATGGTGAAAGCTGCGAATATCAAGTATTATTATTACACATTCAAAATGTTACCTGTTCTTTTTTGCGAAGGATTTTCTTTAGGTCACTCACGTGACATTTTGACATTTCTGCTAAGAACAAGACAAACTTGTGGTGTTTTTCCGCTATACAAAATATGGAGGCCCTCGTAAATATATAATTTTTTTCAAATACTCCGCCATGAGGTTAATGCAAATATATACATACTGATTGAAACGATAGGATTGATGCCTCGTCGATATATCGAATCAAGAGCCAAGCAGAGACTAGCACATTTGCGTTCTCATAACTTGTGGTGTTTTTCCGCTATACAAAATATGGAGGCCCTCGTAAATATATAATTTTTTTCAAATACTCCGCCATGAGGTTAATGCAAATATATACATACTGATTGAAACGATAGGATTGATGCCTCGTCGATATATCGAATCAAGAGCCAAGCAGAGACTAGCACATTTGCGTTCTCATATGTTTGTCATTGTGTGACTCAATGATTTTTAAGTTACAATCGATATCGTTTATAAAAGCTATTATTGGTCGCTATGAGCGATATCTAATAAGGAACATCAACTTTTTCGGGGCTTTATAAATGAGTTCGACTGTACTTCAGTTGTATTTAAAAGAGAGATTATGAAGAGCATGCGTGCTGTTGAATGCCCGATGCTATTTTGAGACCCAGAACGGTCTTTGGACTTACTCTATTTGAAAATAAGTGTAGTCGAATTAAAAATGTCCGTCCATCATAATATTTTCAAACTCACGGTCGAAGATTGTAACAATCAGTCCACTCCGTCCGGAAAATTCAATATAAAATGGTCAAAATGTCGATGTCGAGGCCGACGATGAGGCCTACGAGTTCACTCAATCTAATTCTTCCCCACAAAGGGTCAACATTTTGATAACATATAAATATCATATCATATGCGTTTCGCAAAATACACTGTAGACACAACCGAGGTCATGGTCTGGGGATGAAAAATTCTTATTTAGAATGAAATACCTTGCTGAGTATATGAAAACCCCAAAAGGAAATTCGACATAGGTTAAAGTTCAGAGATATTGCCCGATAATTTTTTTGCTGGCAACCCTATTATGCATGAAGAGATTGTTATGCCAAATGCGAAAAAAAAATATTCGCCAAATTTCAAGGAAGAAAGAACCGATTTTCTAAATTGTTCAACCGGATATAGAGATAATAAATAATATCATTAAAAATATCAAAAAAACACGATAAATTAATTGAACACTACCATAAACCGTTTTTATTATCCGAATATCCGGTCCACCATAAAGATTGCACTATTTTGCAAGTTTTGAATATTTTCTTTTACATAGAAAAAATAGCTATAAGCCAATCATTGACACAGCCCCTTAAAAGTCCTGCATTTTCCCACTAAAGTGGCTGTAGTTCCGATTTTTCGAGGCCAACATACTCACAACTTGGAAAAAAATCATCACCATATAAATATTATAAAGGGTAATGTCCGAATTTCCCAAAGAAGTGGCTTTAATTTTGGAATTTCAGATTCCTGGCCAATCAAACGTTTATTTCTAAAACATTGTTAATACAAGTCCTAAGTTTTAAGGGTATACTTTTTAGTATACCTATCGTCACATATAGACTAGCGGAGTCGATCTAGACATGTGTGTCCGTCCGACCGTTTGTAGACACGATGCAGGACAAATGGACCAACAACTTTATTTTTGTCTATTTTTCACTCTAAGGTCTCAATTATGACCCGAACATATCGGGTCTTTTACACAGAGAAAAAGGGTCTTACCATGGAATAAGATTTACTGTTTAGCGGATCAAACGGACCAAGACTTTTGTGGTAAAATAAAACCAGTAAAGAAACTAGTATAGTCGGAGTGAGAGTGATACCCTTCACCACTTTGGGTATATTCTACATAGTCACTTAACAGACGTCGCCTTTTCGAAAGAACATACATCATTACAGACTTAATTTAGTATGCTATGCCAAATTTTGTGCATATCGAAGGATATGTAGGTACTTTGGCGCACCATTTACCTTAAATCGGACGAAATTATATATGGGAGCTATATCTAAATCTGAGCCGATTTTTCTCAATTTAAATACTGTTCGTCTTTGGGCCAAATTAATGAGCTATGCCAAATTTCATCCAAATCGGACGATAAATGCGACAATTTGTTGTTTACTATTTAAAGACATAATACCCGGTTCCACAGTGTGGTGAAGGGTATAAAAATGTATTCTATGTCTTAATAATATAAGTCTCCTGAAGAATATAGACCCGATAAGTTGGCCTTTAAATTAATACCAATTATATTATGGTATGTACTCGGACGAGAGAGTTTTAATTACGTATTACCATTACCACACTAGAGGGCTGAAGTGTAGCGCTGATGGCTACGAAATTTTGCATAAAGTTCCGTTTATGGTCAAAGACGATGATGGTGATGATATTTGGAGGATGAAATAGACGCAAAACGTTATTTTTGTCTGGTTTTCTAACCGCTCTAGATCCCATAATTATGATCCGAACATCCCAAATTCCCGATGGGGAAGGCAATCTGATCATTTTTTGTGTAAAATAACAAATTGAAAAAATTCCGAAAGGGGAGCTGTTGATATCCAATCGGTCGACAGGGTGCAAATATCGCTAAATATTACCCCCACTCGGAATATAGATCCGCAGAAACTTTGAGCTCCGTGATAGTTGTGTAGGGTATCATATCTTTTTCTAATAGCTTCCCTACAGTGGTCCCGCTTAATTTACGGTAAGCTGAAGTTTCTACAATGGCAAAGTCTGCAATAAAAGTCTCGATATTTTAAGAAATTTTGAATGCACACCAAATAGAAAAGATTAGAAGAAGTTCGAGCCGGTCGAACTTAACGATATTTTTACTTGTTATAAACATATTTTTATAATAAACTATAGGATTGAAATGTTCCTTCCGATTTTTCCGGCAAAACTTCACGAATTCGTGAGCAGCTTCAAATACTTTTGTTCGGATTTCAAAACGAATTCCGCAACAAATCGAAACAAATTCAAGATTAAGAATATTTTTTTGTAATAAAATTAAAGCTGTCACTGTATCTCTACACTATTTAATTTTAAATAAACAAAAATTAAAAAAAAAATAGTGCTGCGACTTACCTTCACATATATAACCTTGTCCAATTAAACCGAACCACAATATATCCGAACAATGATGACAGTATGTTGGCTTATGGAAATTCTTCTTTACGAACGTGTGACCACCATCCGCCATTTTGCGCACAATCGAGTCCATTAAGAAATCTTTGCTGGGATCGTTGTTGTTGTTGGTGCTGCTGCCGAAGAAAATGTTTAGGCCGCCGAACGAGTTCGAGTTCGTGTCTTCCAATGGCGACGGCGACGACGACCAATAGAAATTTACAACAATTAACAACAAATAGTAGGCAACAATCGACCAACACGACGACAGCGACGATCCGCAATTCTTGACAATGGACGACGACGAAGGAATCGTTGATGTTTGTTGTCGACGATGTTGCTCCTTATTGCTGTGCTGTTGGCGATGTTGATGCTGCTCTCGATGGTGGTGGAGGTGGTGATGCTGCTGCTTCTGCGCTTGTAGGTGTCTTACGGTTATGTCTGCCGTTTTGCTTTTTGTTATTTTCAACAATGTAACGGGAACTGGAACTGGAACACTTCAATTCAAAGCTGTTGTTAAATTTGCTATTGACAGTTGGCGAGGGCAGGGAGGCGTAAGTGAGGTTACGTTTTCCACCCAAAACACCAGAAAACAAAAACAAGGATGCGAGATGCGTTTTAGGCAATTTGAATTCTGATTTTGCTTTAGAAGCGTTTTCTGTTGTTGTTGTAGTTTTTGTTTTGTCTGCTTTCTAATTAGTTGTTGTTGTTGTTTTGTGTAGTTTGGACAAGGAACCAATTTGTTGCTGTGTTTGTTGTTGTTGTTGCTGTAGTTTTTAGTACAATAGCAATAGGTGATATTTGAATAGTTGTGGTTGTTGTTGCTGCGACTGCTGCTTCTTCTTCTTCTGTTCTTCTTGACAATGTTGTACTAGTTGTGGTTTTTGTTGCTGTTGTTGTTGTTGTATATCAAAGGTGGGATTGGTTAATTTAATTTTTTCTGTTTCTGTTAAATTCCTGGACAAAAACGACCAACACAACTCGTTCTGCTTCTTCCTCTCCTCTATCTTCAATTGGACAACGGTTCGGCTTATGGATTCAGATGATGATGCGACACTATCTTCGTGAATTGTATTTTTATCAATTCGTGCACTGTTGTTGCCTTTGTCGTCGTATTGTTGTATTTCTTCTTCTTCTTCTGCTGCTGCTGCTACTGATTCTATGCCGTCATTAAATGTTTCGTAATGGTGTTGTTGTTGCTGCTGTTGTCGTCGTCGTTGCAAGTCCGGCTTAATTGTGTGTGACAATTGCTGTTGCTGATGCTGCTGCTGATCGTTTCTTCGTACCGCTTCTTGAGAAATTGTCATCAATGACGGCATTTTTTCATTTTTTCTCCTTTGGACGACATTCAAATTTCATCCAGACATGGGGGACAGGGTGACTGGAACGTCGTAGTTGTGGCAGCAGCATTGGCATTTATCATTGACTCTGCAGTTGAATGTTGGTTGTTCGGCTAATTTTCTATTTTGTTGTTGTTGTTATTTTTTTATTTTGTATTGGAGTTTGTTGTTGTATTTTTAGTTTAGTTTCTTGTGTTTTTTTGTTGTTATTTATTTATATAAGCAGATCTTAGTTACATTTTTACATATACATATATATTTTTTTGTTTTGTTTTTAAGTTTTACTATAGTTACTGCATTTGTTTTGATCATTTAGTTACTCTTTTGGGCATTTTTAGTGTAGTGTTCTAGGGGGAAAGGATGGAAGAAGAGATGTTATATTTTTTGATATCAACAGTGGCAAAAAATGGAAATAATTATTTTTGTTGTAGTTATTTACACAAGCAAACACTTTTTTCACGACTTAATAATACACTTTTTAAAATTTTGTTCATAGTTTAGAGGAAAGTCAAAACTCAATTACTCTTTTTAATGTTCGAGTTTACAAATATTTGAAGGATTTCGTTTTCTAAATACCGGAAGCCTAATAAAAAAGTCGCTCGTGAATTTCAATTTTTCCCGATCCCGTGAAAACTATTATTATCTTATTGAATCTTATTATATTGAAACATTCATAGATTTGAAGCTTTTCGAAAAAAATGAAAATTTAGATTTTCGGAATTCGTGACTTGATAATTTGAAAATTTTTTCGATTATTACATTTCCTTCCATTCCCTTTTAGATATCTTTGAACTACTCCTTTTCAGATATAATTAAAAACTTCGTTACGATGTGACAACACACAACAGTGGGAAAAATATGGTCTTGTTTACGAATGCTTTGTTAACTTCGATGTGAGGCACCAGTAAAATTCTCATTCTCTCGGTGGTTAGTTAAGTACTTCGCTTTGTTACAAGAGACATTTGGGTATAAGGTTTTTTGTAAAGAAGCTATTAATAGCTTCTGGGGGAAATATCCTCAACAAAAAACTAAGGGAACTGATGAGGATCAGTAGCAAAATCCTAAACTATAGTCTTCCCTGCCTTAGTTGACAATACCATACTTTCCCCACTAATAAATAGTTGTTTTTATAAAAACAAAAAACTGGAATTCAGCCTGACTATTTTGAAACTACAAAATACAAATGGTATCACAAATAACCCGCCAACATTACTGGTAATTAAAAACACTTCAATTGTAATTCAAGAACTACAATTTCACATGTATTTCCAGAATTCCAATCGAATTTTGTAACATTTCAATTTGATTCAATTCAATTCGACAATTATGATTGATTCAACATTTCATTTGAATTTATTGTACATATTTCAAATTCGAATTACTGCAATTGTAATTTTATTGAATATTTTGAATTTATAACGGAATTGTTTGCATTACCCTCCACCATGACTTTGGTAGGAAAATTTGACACCTAATGTAAAAATAGGCCCATAACCGCCAAAATACCGAATAATATGCGGTGTCGTTATATGAAGGCTATAGTAAAAAGTAAACTAATGGTCCTATAATGATAAATTTTAGTAGGAAGGTATGTTACCCAGAGAAAGTTAAATGCTAAATTACAGCCAATTCGGTTGAAAAACGTATCCATACACCCCAAAATACCGATATGAAGGCTATCGTAAAAGTGGACCTTTATTACATAGTTTCAGTAGGAAGATTTGATACCCAATCAAAAATCAAAATACCAAATTCTAGCCAATTCGGACGAAAAAGGTGTCGAAAATCCATAAAGTACCGTTATATGGATGCTATATGATAACCTGGCCGATACATCCAATTTTCAAAACCAAACATTCTAGGAGTAATAAACAAGTATGTGCAAAATGTCAAACCTCTATCTTAAATATTATGAGACGGACATACATAAATCGACATAGAATTTTATGCAGACCACGGTGATTATTTTGTCAAAAACAAATGTTTCATTTAAAAATAAGTTGTTGAAAGACAAAACTCTTTAGATTATAAATCATAAGCGACACAATGCAAAATTATGCCAACAACCGAAAACCTAGTCTACTCGAAATTGAGTTCTTTTGATCGCTAGATAAACTGACTGACCAAAGTAATTACAAAATCTAAATTAAACTCCTCCCATAGATATAACAGAAAAGGGCTAAATAATTTTGTCAATCTTTCGACATACTTTTAAGATTGGGAAAAGACGAACAACGAACTATCGAAGCGGAGAGAACATTACTACTAGCCTAACTGAAGTAACGACATTATACCAAACATGTCAAAACGTCGTTAATTGTGCTTGGTACGAACTTTCTATACCCTTCATGGTGATGTGGAACTTCAAATTACCTAAAATCGTTCGAACTCTTTGTGAAAACATGATCCACATTGACACTTTTCTGTCACAAGGTTTATTATCCTTTGAGAAACTAAATTTCCTTTGAGAAACATATAAATTTGAAAATTCTTCCAGGTGAATCGAAATACCTGAAATGGAAGCCTATTTAGGGGTATGCTTATTGTATACACACTTTGATACGCAAATAATGTGCTTAATCGAAATATTGGGTTTAGACCCCATGTTTCTTTGGACCAAATTCGTATCAGACAATTTGCAGTCGATTTACAAATATCCGTCTATCTGGCCGGGTGGTGCGCACTTACTTCATGTTCGAAGATGGGGAATATAGGTCCACTCCTTCTGTTACCTCTCCCACAAAATTCTCAAAATTACGCTTAAAATTAATTTTATAATACCATGGGAACGGACCATCCGATTTATATTAAACTTTCTACAACCGATTATATTTAGCAAGCCTAGATTGTGTTCGAAACACTATTTCGGGAAAACACGTTTAAAATTTGAGAAGTACTTTTGTCGTCGCTTGACACAATAAATCGGCTATATATATCTTCAAGGGTTATTGAGATTTCCACATGAACATTTATAGGGACATTCTTGAATTAGAGTAGGTTCGAATTGAATAAAGAAAAACATTTTTTTTTCAAAAACTTTAAATGTTCACAATTGTCCAAATGGATATTTTTAATTCCGTATAGCGTGGTTATTAGGTTCTTCACGATCCTACAAAAATATATGCTGATCGGATTATTCGTTTTCAAGCTTCAGTGGACGCCGCAAATACTTTTTTGTAGACGGCCTAAAACTTTATGGACCATAACGTTTGGAAAATGCGCCTAAAATTGGGCTGAATCTTAATGTGGAACTATGCCGAACAAAGACATATTTTGAAATGTTTCTGCAAAACTGTCTTTTTTTACTCTCCAAGAATCTTAAATGTCACATGGCGCCGAGCACCATCAACATAAATGATATGCAATTTTAAATACCAGAAATGGGGCTATATCTAAACGTGAACCGATGTACACCATTTCGAATACCAAACATTCCAGGGGTAGTAGCAATATTGAGATCTCTGACAACACGACTAAATCCACAAGAATGTTATACTGATCAAGAACATAAATAACTATATGGGATCTTCAGTAATTATATAGAGCTTTATGGTGGGGGAATATGTCATAGTTAAAAGTCTTAACACAAATAAAATTTTAATTAAATTAATATGGTTTATTTAAAATAATAAGTATAAAAATTTAATTATTTGAAATATTTCAATATTCTTGATTTTATTATTTCCAATATTTTCAAATTTTCTATCTTTTTGTATTTTTCTTCGAACATTTAATATAAAAAATAAATATAATATTCAAAAAGTATCATTTTTTATTCTTCTAAATAAACAAAAAGAAACAACAACACCAAACAGCCCTATACGAATACACTACATGTGCAAGTAAAATAAAAATGTTGTATCAATCTTCAGCTACTATTGCTCTCTCACCCACATTTATATGAATGGTGGGTAACTTCATACATTGAGTTTTATGTACAAATGTATATACATAAGTATGTATATACAAATATATTGAAATATGTGAATATTTGAATTTTTTGAAATAATTATTGTATGGTGATGATAAAAGCTATATCCTCAAAAAAAGTATGCCAATTGAAAATAATTAACCAAAAAGTTTACTTTTTTTATTATTCACGCACTCTCAACATATAGTTGAGAGCAAACTAATTGCAAGTATTCACTTTGAACATATTTATGTAAGGAAAAAGTTATTGAAAAGAACTGCAAAATATTCAAACATTCAATCATCATTTTTCCATCTATCCATCCATATTTCTGTCCGTCTGTTTAATAGATGTTTGTGTGTGTGTATCGAAAAAATTCTATACGATTATATGTGTGTTTTCCTTTTTTCAAAAAAAGAAAAGAAATGTTTTCACCACACACACACAGAAAGTGAGAGTGCCTAAAATGTAGGGAACATATCATCATCATGTTCGAATCCGAATTTAATGTATTTCCATCCAATTGGAATATTCTCCCATTTACTCCCGGAATTAGGGAGTAAATAAACATAGATATTCTTGTTATGTTTACATATGAGCAGACAAATATCCCTCCGTTTTTCCTAAATAAACAACATAGAAAGAGAGAAAGAAAGAAGAGAAAAAACTAAACTAAACAAAATAAAATATCCCAACATTTATTATGAGATGGGAAAATTTTTATTTAAATAGGCACACTCACACACAGGCATAACTAAATATGACAGATGAGGAATATATGTGTGCAAGGAAAATAGCAACAGAGTGTAGAGAGGAAATGTGTTCTTCTTCTTTCTTTTCCATTTTTTCCTAATGGAATAATGTACAATAGAGATTTTCTTTCCTTCACTTTAATTTATTTGGTTATAATTAAAAAAAATCCTTATAATAAAAAATAATATCTTTATTTTTCTAAAAATGAATTATTTTAATAAGAATTTTACATTATTTTTATTTTATTTATTTTTTTTTTTTTATATCCTTAGTTTAGTTTTTTTGTCATTTATTTATTCCCACTCTCTCATTATCG